TGTCTAATTTCGTGCTGGAATAAGTAAGACGAGAGAAGACATAGAGATATCCAGAGCTGTCGTTTGTTGACTGGAATGTAATCGAAGAGGACAAAAGGGACAGTTTGGAGCACAGTCTGGAAGTCTTTGCCGACCAGGCTCTGATAAAATTGAATTAGAAGGTTGGGCTGGATTGGTGCGATGTTCAAACCTTTGGTGTTGAAGCTTCTCCACCGAGCTGATAATTCCCGGTAGTGTCGACTGCCGGGCTTCAGGAGGCCAAAGGATTTCATTATATCTCTGAACATATATTTCACAATGCCAAGAAGAACTACGTGGAGGATTTCGACAGGGGTATCCTGATGGCCATTGAAGCCTGGCAATCAAAAGTTAAGGTCAGCTACGCATTGATGTTTGTTACGTTGTAATGTTCATTGTACCTCGCAGCCTCAACATGGAGTTAAAGAGACGAGAACCTAGTTGACTGTCCAGATCTTTGCATACGCGCTCAACCTCGTTGGGTTCAGCTGAATCATGCGCAAGGTTGACCTTCTTGATGAAATAATCCAACACAGAATCACGGAAACCATGCTTTCGTGCCTCAGTTTCGACGGCCGTTTTACTATGTGGCTCTTGCGCCATTCGCCAAATCTTCACAGCTCGGGCTCGTGTGACATCCCAGTTACGTTGTGGTAAAGAGAACTGAGATAAAGATCAAGCAATCAATGACAAAATTTTCGAAAATTTTAAAACTTTAAAATTTTTTCCCAGTTACCTGTTCACCATCTAAATCAACTCCAATGAAGTCTGAAACATACTGTTTGGTTTTTTTGTCACTCATCTGGGGGACTTGCAGCTCACAGATCCGGCAAGGTGTGAGCGTATTGGCTGGATTTGTTGTATTACTGATCTCCGCATGCATGGGGCCGTCGCCCAGGTGGAATAGGACAACCACCATGGCCAGAATATCGGTGCCGGTGACGTGGTCGTACGCAACAAAACCATGGGCACTGTGGTGGCTGTAGGACCATAACCGTCAGCTTCAGGCACTGTAGATAATTTATAAATGAAAGGGACCCACTTGATATCATCAACAACCTCATCAAGCAATTCCAGTGCTGAAGCGCAATTTGACGTGGCCAGGAAATGTATATTATACTCCTGGTTTGTCATCGATGGAGGTAACCCCGCAAGTGTGAAAAAAACACTCATGTGCTTGTTCCACTTTTTCGACACATTACCCGCGGTATCATCGGAATACAAAGCAATGGGTATGTGCTTGATGATGCGTCCATTTGCACGTGTGCGCCAATTATTGATGATAGGTAGTTGACAAAGGCCGTCTGGGGATTCCTCTAAGTTCAATGTATTTCATCAGCTCGTGTTGGCAACAGGCAACATTATCAGCCAAAGAAGAGACCCACGATATATAGATGCTCCACACGATTCAGAGAAACTGGTTCCGTCAGGCAATGTAATCTCGGCAGCCACTTTCCAAAACTCTTTGACGTCAAAGGTTTGAAAATCATCGGAGTCAAAATCTCGTTCCGCAGGAATGGATGTTTTCATTGCCAAAGGGTTGTGTGGATCTTTTTGAACACATGCTGGGAGACATTTAGCAAAGGTTCTCCCATTGCTTTGGAAAAAGAAGGCTGGTACAACAATTTGTTGAGAAAATAGCTGGATTGGTTCATATATAAACCAATGTTTACCACGGGACACCACCGATTGAACACGTAAATCCTTGCTAAACCCTTCGCGCCATTTCTGCGACTGAGACAAACGGTTGATTGCTTCGTTGGTTGGCAGTTCGGGGAGGCAGACCAGATAGGGGCTGACCAGAGGGTTTGCAAGCTCCTGTTATAGAATTAAAATATTAATGTAGGGTCAGACATAATGCATAGTAATTGTCAACTGAGAGGGTCATAATCATAACAAATACCTACATTTGTTATGATGGTCTGAACTTTCAACCCAAACAGGGGAGTTCCGTGTGGACTTGTCCGTTCGGAGACGTTTAGGCCTAGGTTCTTTTTAAGACGCTTACTTAGCGCGCGTAATGCTCCCCATTCAGGTAAGTTAACATCACATATTTGCAAAATAGCCCGGATTCGATGGTACTGGGAGCGGGATAGGATCGATCTGGTGGATCCGATGATCAATAGTGCGACTATGTGCTGAGGCCCAAGAGGAATTAATCAGCGGGGTGCTTGTGGGGCACAAGACAGTCTCAATTATCCATGTGCGTACCTCTTTCTTTTTAAATGGGTACCACTCCGCCACCTCTTGCTGCTTCACACCGCGCAGGTCCTCCTCAAGCAGGGCATCATCCATTTCGTCGTTGGCAGGCCCCCAATCATCGTCATCCATGGCTTTAACCGCTTCGAGGAGCTTCTGTACATCAATCTCCAGGTCGGAGGTTTCTGAGTCGCTAGGTAGATTCGCCTCCGCAACTTCGAGGAGACGGAGGTACGACAGAGGAGACGGCGGGCGTTCGTCCGGTGGGTCGGATGAACGGCCATTGTTATCAAATATGTCCTCTTGGGGGGTCGGTGTGGTGATGACCAAGGGTTCGTCAGGGACTTCATCCAGGCCAATCATCTGTTGTTCTGCCGCCTGACGAGCCTCGTAACGGGCAACTGCGTCCAGGTGAGGCCTTGACGCCAAATGGGGGCCGTAGTTGCCCATCAGTCGGGTGCAGACCATACATCGCCACTGCGGACAGGACGGGTCTGTCGAGATCAATTCGAGGTCTGCAGGTGAGGCCAAAGCTAATTAGTATCAATGCTAAATTGCTGAAACATGGGGGAATCCTTGCACTCGTACATTGGTTAGGTGCATTGGTTCCTTGTGCCATGTTGGGAACAGGTGATTACGCCGGGTGCTGTGTGTGTGCCGTTCGGATTTGGGATTTTGTGAACAAACAGAAATGAGCGTTCAAAGAGTTTGAAAACGGATCGACCTATGAAAAGGTCCACGTACATAAACAATAATCACGCAAGAGAAAAAAGGATCGAGAGGGGAATAACGAGCCACTACTCGGGCTTACTTGATGAAACTGTTGACGAGAGTTATTATTGTGTGCTCTTGAGTGAAAATGTGATGAGCTCTGCTGGCCTCACGTAGCAGTTGACGGTTGGAATCGGAGTGATTCTTGCGGTGTGGTGCAAT